CTATGCATTACATTAATGCACACAATGTTCAAATATTGCTTACTGGACATATTTCATATGTTATATTCTATAATTCACTGCATTCTATTAAGCTGTAAATGACTGCTTGACTTTATTTGCTTGACTTTATTTTATTGCTATCTATCTATATTTGTTTACAGTGTTGTTAATATAGTTCGCTATCTGTGTACTTGTGTTTCTTTGTTTTATATTTAATGTATGCGCCATGACATCAAGTCAAATTCCTTGTACTTGTGAGTATACCTGCCAATAAAGCCCTTTATGATTCAGAATAATAAAATGTGTATTCATATATCATACTTTGATGTCTGCAAACCTTTTTTACACATATCGGTGGACATTGTAGCATAAAACACAAATATCAACAAGAGGCAAAGTCAAAACAAGGTTCTTTTTCATTCTGTCACATTTTTTATTTGGGGGCAAAACACTCCAAGACAGCCAAAAACTTGTCGGACCTTTCTCGGGCCTCTGCTGCTCTCTTGTCATCTGCCTCTCTCTGGTAGAGGATGTCCTCCCTTAAGAGATCAAGGTAGGGATCCTCTCTCTCCCTCTTTTTCCTTCCTCCTCTCCTCTCCGTGTCGCCCTTGTCTTTTCCCTCCTCATCCTCTCGCCCTTTCTGACCTACCTGGGCAGTGCTTGGCCCCGGATTTGCGTCTTGGATGGAGGAAATCAGGCAGGGGGGCGAGACCGCCGCAGACTGCCCTAATGCCTCATCCATTAGGACAAACCAGGCCCAAGTCGCTGCTGTGGGTTTCCCGTTCTCGGTGCCCTGCCCTGAGGCGGGACACTTGCATTCCTGAGCAGTGAAGACCAAACACATACACGCATTAATATATGAAAACATAATACATTTTAATTTCAAACCTTTATTACAGGTGAATCCCATTGAGATCATTGATCTCTTTTTCAAGGATGACCTGCTGCAAGTAGGTTCCACATGAATACATTTGAACATATAAAACAACAGCAAAAACAAACATGATCATGTCTATAACCTCTCACACCTTGTACTTCATTTTGAGGTTGTCCCACTTTTTTTTGGCTTGGACGTGGGTTACCCTTCCCTCAATCCCCATCTTTGCCACAATTGTCCTATGTAAATTATAAGAAGGAGAAAGCAGCGATTAAATTACATCTTGAACAATATTTACTACCTAAACAATGTCACTTGCTTCTCACCGATAACCACTGGCGGCCGTGTCCCGACCGCCCGTGAACAGGTGCTGGAGCTCAACACGGAGGCGTATAAAGGCCTCCGTCTGTTCCTTAGTCCCTTGAGCAAACACCAGAAACAACAGTATAATGCCGTGTGTAATTAATGAATACCAGGCCAAAAACTCTGTTGCCAGTTTATTACAGAAACGGAGCTTAACTGCAGTCCGGCAACAAACAATTGTCCCACTCTCTCTAACGGTTTCAACATAAACTCTACCGAAAATAAATACCTCACGATGTACCTATCTAATTATTAACTAGCTTTACTTTCACAGAACACATTTTTGGTGATAACAAATTTATCAAAGTAACGTATTTACCAACACATTTTTTACCCCACTTTACATACTTACATTTAAATGTGTACTGCTTCACTTCAGCCATTTCCGCCACAGATTTTGGAAATTGGTCCGTGAGCAAAGCATTGTGGGGATTTTAAGGCCGCGAAGTCTACTCATGTGCACACTCGATATTTGTCCAAACGGAGTACGCCGGGCTCACTAGATTTCCAAGTATACTGGAGATTGGAACAGTACTTCGGCGGCACTCGATGACATCATATGCTTGAAATAGTGGCTCGGAAGCAGCTTTACTCGCGATTGAGAAACACCCTGAGCCTCTGAATTAGCAACGAGCGAAAAATGCTAACACCTTACTGCACCGAAAATCACTCACAAAACCTTATTATTTATCTTTTCACCACATCCAACACATCGATTCACATTGTGAGGTGACACAGAATCTATTGACACCGACATTATCACTGAATTATACGTATTTACGACGTTATAAGCAAAAACGGACATCAAAACAGGTGACACTAGGTAGCTAAAAATGCTAACATTTTTACCTTGGCTCTGTAGTCTCTCCAAAGTGGTCTTCAATGGCATTAAAACGATAAAAACGCAGCTGAAGTTAATCCATAGGTTAATCTAATGTGTCTGTGTCCCTTTGAAATTATTTCTGATAATCCATAAGCATTAAAACTGCTTTTCCGTTTCCAGATGTCAAAGCTAGAGATAGGTTCACTCTGATTGAAAATTACATGCGCGAAGCCCCCACCTTTTCTCTTCACAACGTGTGTGTGGGGGACTGCCCCTTCAATTCTATTGGCTCTAAGGGTCAGAAAGAGGTGTCAACCATCAAAATCGAGCAAGGGGGGCCAGAGATATGGAAAATCCACCCAAATGACCCCAGAAGTGGTTAAATCTCTCTAAAAAGGTCAAATGTCACTTGTTTTACATCAATCTTGATACAGGGTACTTATTATATGTTGTACTTTGGATTCCTAAAGCTTTTAGTCTACTAACCCATCATCCAAGGGTGGTTTTCACTATAAGTAAAAAAATATTTTTGGACGGACACTATAATTTACAGTTTTTTACTATGTAAAATCTGAATTTTCTTTAAAATAAAAATCATCTATATTGATTCTGACTTTTCTACATCCAACTCACAGGTTTATCATTACTTTGAGAAAAAAGATTATTAATTTAACACTTTTAGAAGGGAAGATATGGTAATTTGTTCTGGGAATGTCATTTTCGAGCCTGAGACCTGAAAAACAGGCTCAGGGCTGAACAGGTTAAGGAGACTCTGTTTGGTTGGTTGTAGAGTGGCAAGGGGCGTTATGAATGCAGCATAAGTGCTCGAGTTGACTGCCTGAACTAGCTTGCAGGCTTCGCCCCATTTATTAGATATCATGTATGAAATATATTGCTTATTGTTCCTATAGCAGGATTGCTCTCAAACGAAATAAACAATTCTTTTAAAAAGATGGCATAAAAGAAAAAAACACAGATGTGAAAGAAACTTTTTTTTACATTATTTACAGTGTTCTACTCTTCTGACCACGTATCATCAAACATCGATTCATCAATTTAAGGTGTGTCTGTTCTCTTCTGATACTCTGAGAATCGGGGAGTAAGCGCCTCAGGGTTTTAAAAAATAAACCTCTCAGAACAAGCTGAGTGTGAACGTGACCCGAATTGACCAATGGAGTTATTAATTAATGAAGCACGGGAGAGAGAGGGGAGAATGTGTGAACAAAGAGCTAAAACAGAAAGGATTACTTTCTCTCTGTCAGGATTGGGGAGTAATGGATTACATGTAACAGGATTATGCAATGAAGATAGTAATAAAGAACCCTTTTTATGGTGGCCGACAGGTGCAAACGAGCTACAACGGTCCAAAACTTCCATCAGGAGAAACACATTGCAGCTTCAGAAACGATGCAGATATAAAAACTAGGGCTGTCAAGTTAACGCGTTAATAACGCGTGAACGCAAAAAAAAAATTAACGCCACTAATTATTTTAACGCGATTAACGCATGTGTATTTTTTGTCCTCGGCCGCCCCGTAGTTTCAGAGCGCATCGAGTTTAAAATACCATCTACAAGCTGATGCTGACAGCCCCGCTCCTGCCCCCGCTTGTGGCAGACCACACTTCCACGCTCACCGGCAGGCCCGGACTGGCCATCGGGAGGACCGGGAGGGTGTGTGTATGTGTTGCGCGAGTGAGGCACACCTTACGTGTTGTTGTTGTTGTTGTTAGCATCTGGTGCTAGCTAGCTGCGCTAACGGATATAAGGAGCTGTTTCAATGAAAACAGAGGAGCGACATTTCGCCGACAACTGCGCCGAGCACTTGACTTTATGCAGGTAGCCAGACAGCACACTCAGCACGGATAGTGCGCGCAACATGATCCATCACAGTGTCTCTCCACACACACACACACACACACACACACACACACACACACACACACACACACACACACACACACACACACACACACACACACACACTTTGTATTGTATGAGAGGGGTTCCAGGTTGAATTGAGGCGAATATTTGTAATGTTCAGGTTGTTGTGTTTAATATTCATGAGAATATTTGTCATTGTTCAAATGATAATAAACAAACATATAAAGCATATTTGTCCACTCATATGTTGATAAGAGTATTAAAAACTTGAAAAATATCCCTCTAAGGTACATTTAGAACAGATAAAAAATGTGCGATTAATTTGCGATTAATCGCGATTAACTATTTTAATCGACTGACAGCCCTAATAAAAACACAAATGTTCCACATGAAGAAACATCTTCAGCAACTTGACAACACATGCAGCGTTTAGAGGAAGCATGCGCAGCGTTTACTAAAAGCTGCAGAAACCAAACGCTGCAAATACAAAACACTGCAAGAAGCTCAAAACACAACGGAGACCAGGGGACACTAAAGAGTGACGCACACAGCTGGGAGACCAGGGGACACTAAAGAGTGACGCACACAGCTGGGAGACCAGGGGACACTAAAAAGTGAAGCACACAGCTGGGAGACCAGGGGACACTAAAAAGTGAAGCACACAGCTGGGAGACCAGGGGACACTAAAGAGGGATGCACACAGCAGATATATAGGCCTACTGTATAAACATATAAACCAAGACAGAAAAGGAGAAAAAAGACAATGGAAGGTAAAAGATGGACGGAAAGGACAATAAGAGCCTATCACTGGTGCTGGATCTTAATGGAAACAGCACACACACACACACACACACACACACACACACACACACACACACGCACACACACACACACACACACACACACACACACACACACACACACACACACACACACACACGTTCATTCACACATTAAACCTCAGCACAGAAAGAGAAGGGGAGGGGTGAGTGAGATATGAGGAGAGAGAAAGCGCATCACTATTGGGAGTTATAAGGCGCGTGGATCTCACGAGCGCAGGTGAAGCTGATTACCGCACGTGAGGGTCTGAGTGACCGTGACACCGGCCTCTGACACTACATAAAGATGGACTCAGGAATAACGGAGCGGATTTATGAATGAAACCTCGGAGGGGAAACATCAGGAAAAGACTCTTCACTCACAGAAAAGAGAAACCCCTCAGATTTACCGATTTATTTTTCTAATTTGAATGACAATCGAATGGTTTGGACACCGTTTGCCATTTTTTCCCTCAATTTGGAAGATGTTTTATTGCGTTTTCTTTCCCCGAATGTCCACTGAGGACTATTTGACAGTAGATTAATCATCTGTCTGTTTCCCGTTTACACCGTGAACACACACAGGTAGACAGAAGGATGAATCAAATATAAAAACTGCTGTAGCTGCACAGAAATGTCCTACGATGCCCTTTTGGAGACTTAAGGGACGCGGGGTTTCGGTGCCATTACGCGCAGCGATGCGTAAAGCTCTCCGGTGATTCTGGTCTGCATGGACCCCGGAAGTAAGGCTACTGATCGGGCTCAGCGACGCATAAAACCGGCATTATTGTAAAAAAACATCCCTCCATAAATAAGTTATTTAATGTCTCCCCCTTTCCTAACCAGCTTTAGATACATGTGCAGTCCATATTTGTGGTCGAAAATAGGATTATTCTTCGCTTTTTTGCCATTTTTTATCATTTTTATCAGTTCTCTATTGGACTATTTGTGATGAGGACTCGCAGTAAGTCGGGGATTTTTTTCCGGGAACACATCGAGGTGTTTCAGAGAAGCTTCTTCCAATTTCCCACTGAATAAAAAAGAAGAAGAAGCACCGACCGGTGTCAGGTGTAGAGAGAAAAAGGTAAATGCTACATATGTATTACGGCTGTCTGCTGCACTTTCACACATCATTTTCCCCCCTATTTTATTAACATATTTTTCATCTAAAATCCGAGTTTATTTTACTTCAAATAAAGTGAATAAAGTGTTTGGGAAAACTATCCAAAAAACTGAAATAACAGACAATGTCTTCAAAGCACCAACGCTGCTTAAAACTGTATTCTCCAATATATTTATAAAATCTGAATTTAGTTAGAGTAGAGACAGGGGGGTTTGACCCTGTAAATATACATTTGGTACCCAAAGCTCATAAATACGGTGGCCGACAGGTGCAAATGCAATACAATGGCCCAAAACACTTACATTTGGACAATTGCTCTGCAGTTTTATGCAAGTCAAAAGGTCTGTTTTAAATCTGTCTTGCCTGAATTGAAGATCAGTCATCTTACCCTCTCTCTCTGACTATAGTTTAGTTTTTATTCTCAACATGACTTGGGAAACACAACTTGATTCTAGATTTCTGTTAACAGAACATTCATTATGTTACTGATTTCATTGTTTTACAGTTAACTAGTAATTGTCCCTAATTACATTTTTAAAGTAACCCCCCCCCCCCCCCCCCCTGCCTGCTCCATGGACCGTTACTGTGATGATGAAGCCTTGAATCTTGAAAAAAACCGGTTCCCACAGCTCTCTTCCTCTCCTCGTATTTCTCAAGCATTCATTCAGGTTTGCTGTAAGTGTAATTGCTTTTAGAAAATATATTTCTGATCTCCTGCCAAATCCTGAACCATCCAGACTCTTCTGGTCTGCTTTCTGTCCCCGTCAGTCAGAACTGAACATGGAGAAGTTCAGTTATTATGCTCCAAATATCTGGATCTAACTCCCAGAAACCTGCAGGTGCGCTGCGACTCTGACTACTTTTAAATCCAGGCTGAAGACTTTTCTTTTTGCCGCTGCTTTTAATTGAACTATTCATATCTGTAACTTTGATTCATGTACCTGTGTTATTCATGTTTTATTATCTTTGCTTTTAAATGAGTGTTTTCAAATGCCATTATTATATGTTTCTCCTGCACAATTTCTTACGGAGCCCCTAAAGGGTCATGAAAAATAAAATAAAGTATCTCGTGCGCACGATCCTTTAGGGGCTACATCATTTCTTAACGCTCTTAATATATTTTATTAATTTTGTAAAGCACTTTGAATCGCCTTGTGTTGAAAGGTGCTATATGAATAAACTTGCCTTGCCTTAGATTATATTACGTATCCCGTTCAAATGTCCCTCCCCTTCTGCTTGACTTCCAGCCAGTGATGCTCCATGGACCGATTTTCCGCTTCGACGACCCAATTCGACTCCTCAATCCGGGGCTTTTTCCTCCACTGATGTCCCTGGAGGTCCGTGAGCCCGCTCTGGTGGGTAACTCCACTGTGCCCGGGGAGGAGGGGGCTCCCCAGCAGCCCTCCCTCCCCTGGGTGCCCCCCCTGCTGGCCGGAGTGCTCATTACAACCATCGTGGTGGACGTGATCGGGAACCTGCTGGTCATCGTGTCCGTGTTCAGGAACAAGAAGCTCCGGAAAGCAGGTTCGTGTCAGTGCTTTAACTGTTCAGCCCGAGAGCCCCCTCAGTCGGGGGCTGCAGGGTGTTTTTTCACGAAACTGTGTCTCAGGGCATCTTAATATTTAAAAACCTATTAATGTGTTATACCAGATTAACGGGAAGAATCTCAGCTAACTGACGATATGTACCATTTTTACCAAAACAAAACACAAGTCTCATAAGAAACATCTAAATGACCCCTAACGCATTTGGCACAGAACTCAAGATAAAGATACCCTTATTACTTATCATAACTGCACATACAAGATATCCGATTAAAGCTGAGACTCCACAGATTATATAGTTATAGTATCATCACTGAACGATCAGAACTCGCGACAGGGGAAGCAAACACAGACATCACAACACGTAGCATTACGGAGCAAAAACGGGACATCTTCTCACCTTAGCTGTTATTCTGACCAAAAGTCGTGTTCAATGGCATTAAAACGATAAAAACGCTGCTGAGGTGACCTTCCATAGGTTATACCAATGTGTCTGTCACTTTGAAAAAATTATTTATAATCCATAATTCCATTTTTATGTAAAAATCGGAGAATAAAAGTTAGCTGCTAATGGTAGCCACCAGAGTTATCGCAGCTTCCGGTTTTGGCGACGCATCACTCTCACTCCTTATTTGGTAACGTGTGTGTGTATGTGGGAGTTCCCCTCGATTCCTTTGGCTCTTGCGGTTAAAAAGAGATGGCAATCACCAAAATCGACCAAGGGGGGCCAGAGATACACAAATGGCTCTTTTTGATAAAGAGTGCTTGGCCTGACTCTCTGTAGCGTCACGTATTGTTCACCAGAGCAACTTTTTGAAACCTACAAGCATAATTCACAAATAATTAGGGGTGTAACGGTTCACAGAATTCACGGTTCGGTACGTACCTCGATTTGGGGGTCACGGTTCGGTACGGGTTCGGTACAACAACAAAAAGTCCCAAATGCATAATTCCAGGTTTGTTGTTATTTATTTTGAACAGTAGTGCAAGTTTCAGTTTAAAAATAAGGAACATTTTGAATAATTAACTTTATTACACAGTGAAAAACAAACCACAAACAGTACCACACACACTCAGATGGCCATATTATCTATAATGGCTGATGTCAAACAAAAAGGTTTCATCAAGCTGTAAAACTAAAAAGAATGTCTTGAAAATATTACATAATAAATAATAAGAAAGTGTTTCAATCACTTTGAATCACAATCAATAAAAGCCGGGGTCCTCTACTATCGCATAAGGGCGCATTGCCGCTGAAATATATATGCCAATAGCTTCCGTTATTTCTTTTGGTCTCTCGGCTTTCATGTCTATTGGCTTCTTAATAACAGCGGGGATAAGCTGTTGAACTGCTGCTGTCTTTCGCCGGGCTCCGGTGATTGGCAAATCTGGGTGATGCCTTCTGATATGATTTAGCATGTTTGGCGTGTGTTACCATTAGCATACCGCACCTCTGTCGAAGAACGCCGACACACCGTCCTCGTCCGATCCACCACTCGCACTCCATCGTTATTGTAGTCCACAGGGAACCCGAAACGTTCCCACACAGCTGATTTAAACGAAGCAGGTGGGTTCTAGCTCCTGTGTGTTATCTGAAATCGCCATACTAACTTTTCTTCTTCTTGTATTTTGTTAGTTTTGTTGTGTTTTCTTCTTGTTCTTCATTTGTTGTTTAAGAGCGGCTGGCAAACAGCTTCTAGGTGCAATACCGCCCCCTGGATTATATATAGTGTAGTGGATACTGCCCCGAATGACAGACTTTTTTCCCACTCATAAAAAAAGGCGTATTCGTCGTGTGACTGCATGCACCGAGCCGTGACGTCCGAACCGTGACGGTTCGGGACGAATACGGATACCGTTACACCCCTACAAATAATGGATTGTGGCTGCTAATCTACGCGTCTCAAGACATTTTACCCACGGCACCTAGTATTTGCAGCTGAGTGCAATTTGTCATTTCTTGCATCTGGTAATAGCAAGTATCCATGTGACAAAGGATAGATGTTCCCTTTGAGCCAAGAAGTAGGCAGAAAAATGGCAATGAAGGAGAAAAAACAATTACATTTACAGACCGCAAGTACCAACAAGGTGCCGAGGTATGCTTTAAACGTCATGAACCAAAGAAGAGTTATCATTGAATGACGCCATGATCACTGGAAAGTCTGGGCATTGATAAATAAGCTTCAGTGAACAAGAAGCTTTTACATTTCACTGGTTGTGTGAGTGGGTAAGATAACTGACCTTTGTGGCTGTTCTTGCCTTGAGGATTATATGCAAAAAACATTTCAAAAAGTCTTTATTGTCAATCTTTCAGTTTTTGTGTACAGACAGAGAGATCGAAATACTGTTTCCCACAATCCCGAGGAATACAAAAATTACAAATACATATAAGAATACGTATAAAAATGTCCGCCAAAGGTATGCAAATGACCCATTTATATATGTGCAAACAGCAAAGGAGCAAAGTGTGAAGTTTGAGTTTGATATCTAGAAAGTCTGTAGTAAATATAACAAAGTGTGGATGTGGAAAGCTCTGCTCGGAGGAATGTGAACTCCTCACCTCCGCATCTCTCAAATCCTGAACACAGCCCTGAATATGACCCCTCTAATTATTGCAAAACTCAAACCTCTATATCTTTCCAACACCGCAATACGATCCAGAATGAATCACTTGAAGGTTGAGTGTTGTATTTCCTACGAGCTGCAGCTCAGTGTGCCGTGCTCGCTGTTGTACTTGAACAAAATGCTCGCAGCCTTGAAGACACTCACAGAAAAGAGCGAAAGACGAGAGGAGCGAAGGAACAAAGACGAGCGTCTCCTCTGAAAACTCTCTTTGTGTTTACAGACGCTCGGCCTCCTCTGTGTTTCGAACACAGTGACTCCAGAGGAAAGGTCACCACGCGTTTCCGCCACGCAGACGAAGAACTGATTAGATTTCCGTGCGACTCACTTAATAAATTAGCATTTTCAATGTGTAAAAAACTCCAAACTGTAAAGTTCACACCAGGCTGAAAGAAATCTCTGCCCATTCATTCATAACGTGTCTTAATGAAAAGACTAATTAGCACAACGGTTGTGTTTAATGTGTCATTAGGAGCTTCTTGCTGTCTGACGGTGTTAATAAGAAGTGAAAGTCATATTGGGAGACTGACCATAAGATCATCAGACGGCTAAATACAGCTATATCTTTTGTTATAAAACCCTGAGCAATTAAAGAAATCCCCCGATTTGAGAAATCCATATTTGTTTGGTTTTAAGCATCTTTACTTCATAATAACCCGATTTGCTCTGTGGTAATTATGACTTTATAGCTGATATTGCTACATGTATATTGATGTCTTCTTAGTTCTCTACATGATTCACCCCATTCATTTAGGATTAAATTAGCCCTGTGGAGCCATAAACAAACAAACAAATGTACGTTCAGTAGGCGTCACTAAAAGGTATTGTTCCAGCAAGAAACGTTTTTGTAATCCAACATTGTTTACATCCTAATTAGCTTCCTTCCCTTGTTGGTGCATATATTTCACATATCACCAACTTATAGTGCAGAAAAACAGCTCCATGTTCAGGTGAAAGAAGTCCACAGGGAGCCATGAAGTTTAGTTGCCCCCTTGTGGCTCAAGGTTAAGAAGGCGAGCCTCCAGAAGCTCCAGGTTGCTTATAACGATTGTTTGCGTATACTGCTTAGAAAACCAAGGTGGTGCAGTGCAAGTGAAATGTTTTGTAAAGCACGAGTCAACACGTTCCATGCTCCCTTGAGAAATCTGATGTATAAATTCATCTGTCGATTGAATGTTTCTCATAACTCTGTCATTATGCTGCTTTCAAATCCGTGTCTCAGTGCAGTACGATACCAGTCACCTCTGTGGAAACATTGGCATCACTGCCTTTTTACATTTCTATTTGAGTGTTGTATGTGTTTTAAAAATGGACCTAGTCTCTTTAAATAAAGCTGATGATGATGATGATTTACTCTTTACTATGGTAATACAAATAGGAGGCACAAGTCTAAATTGATTATAAAACACTGGAAAAATAAGATAAGATGATAAGAGGTTATTTTATTGATCCCACATTTGGAAATGTTTGCGTTGCAGCAGCATCAAAAACAACAAAACAAGGCTTTGCACATCATTAGAAATTAAAGAGTAGAAATAAACAATACTATAATTTAAACATCTCAACATAGAATTAAAACAGCATTAAAAAGTACAACATATACAGTAGAGCAGTGGTTCCCAAACGGTGTGCCACGGCACACTGGTGTGCCGTGAGGCAAGTCCGGGTGTGCCGTGGGATTTTGTGACAACCATACGTTATTATTGCAATATACAACTACACAAAAATAATTATTTTTTAATTTACTATATCAGTACTTTGTATGCACTCATTTCATAATACAGAGGCAAACTCTATACCTAAAAACAATTCTTTTAAAAAAAATCCTCACAGAACCCCATATTTCGCTGTTAACGCAGTTGCAGGTGGGAATTATAAGACCGTGACACATCGAAGGCTGAAGGACAACATTAAAACAGAGAAACACGCAAGAGGGAAAATGGAGCGCTTTCTTTTGCGGAGCAAACCACCAACCACCAGTGCAGAGACTGCCGACAACCCACCACCGAAAGAAAAGAGGAAAAAAACTGTCAGCAGACAGTATCATGAAAGTTACCTGTCTTATGGCACTGCAGGCGAGCGGCAGATTTTCCCTACCAATAGACGAATCTACTGACATAAGTGGGGCTGCCCAACTTCTGGCAAACGTCAGCTATGTTGATGCTGACTCTATCAAAGAGACGTTTTTCTTCTGCAAAGAAATGGAAAGCCATACTACGGGAGAAGAAATATTCAGGGTAACTAATAACTATTTAAAAGAGAACAGTCTGACCTGGAATATGTGCGTCAGTTTTTGCACAGATTGTGCGGCAAGCATGACGGGGAGAGTGAAAGGATGTATTGCTAAGGTGAGAGCAC